TCTCTCTCTCTCTCTCTCTCTCTCTCTCTCTCTCTCTCTCTCTCTCTCTCTCTCTCTCTCTCTCTCTCCGGGCTCGTGTCCGACCGTCGATTCCGTTTGTTTTTTTTCCGCTTGGTGCTAGGCTGGTTTTCGTTGCATTCTATCGAGATAGATCGACTTCGTAGCAGAGTCTGATGCGGAAGGGAGGGCGGACGACGCAGGTCTGATGCGGAAGGGAGGGGAAGCCGAGAGGGAAAGATCAGACACAGAAACCGAGCAGCCACGAATCAAGAAAAAGTCGGTGAGAAAAGCCCGTTGCCACGTGTAATGTTTTCCCGCCTAACGTCGACGTGGCGCCAATAGCTGCATCGCTCCTTCCCAGCGGGGAGGAGTTACCGAGATCTTCGAGCTATGGCAGTCCGCGATCGCCCCTTCTCCCACAGTTTTTCTTTCTCTGTTCCTGATTGGAGAAAATTTAGGATTTGACACCACCCACAGGATATTTCCAGGATTGAAAGAAACCCCTTTTTTTTCATGTGCGGCGCTGCCAACAAGTGCGGTGACGACCCCTGTCAGGGCGGGAATCGGTTTTCTTATTTTTCTTATTTTTCTTATTTTTCTTATTTTTCTTGCTTTTATACTTTTCTTCGGGAGGAGCGGGAATTGACGTGGCGCCTGCACTGGCGCAGGGAGGTCTTTGGTGTTGGTCACCGCCCCAGGGTTTTTTGGCCAAGGACTCCTGTGGCCGAACAAGATTCCCTCCCTCTTGTCCCGAATAGACGGGAGGGTCATTCATGCGGTATTTGAGCCACCGTTCAGTCTAGACACTGTGATACTTTCATCAGTGTAGATGCAGCGATAATGGCCCCCCGTTCTATTCGGGGAAGCCAGTCTCCGTGGATCCAACACCATTGACTTACCACGAGCAGGCAGGAGGTTTTACCGTGGATAGAGGCCCTACCGTCTTCACCTGAATAGAACGCCCGGTCATTTTAGCCGTATTGGGTGCAATTTTCAGTCGACGGGAGGACGGTGGGTGCCAGAGGCCGAGGAGCCTAGTAGAAGCCCGGTGGGGGGAGCCCAGTAGAAGGTGGTAAAAGCCCAGGTATTCCTGTTTTAGGCTATTGAACCGGTGGTCGGACGGAATCTCCTCATGGTTAGGGGCATGGGGAGGTTTTTGTGGTAAGTGGTGGTACTGGGTGGTCACTATGTTCTTCACCAGTATCCTTCTACAGAAATGGGAAGGGATTCGGGACATGATACATGATAGATTTACTTTTTTATTTTTAATTTTCAAAGAAGATTTTTGTTTTTTTCCTAAAATAAAATCACATTAACTAAGGCAAAACGGGGCCAGGTCCATTGAGCGGTTGTAGTCTCAGCAGTAGGTAGTAGGATAGTTGTAGGATAACTGTAGGTTAGTTGTAGGTTAGGTTGGTAAAGTTGCACGCTGGACCCGGTTTCCAGCAGGTGATGCTCCCCACCAATAGATGGAGCGGCCCGCCAGGCAAAGCCTCAATCCCGGTGGTTCTCTTACCACCACCAGGATAGAGGTTTTGTACGAAGGGCCCTTTCTCCAAAAAAAAAAAAAAAAAAAAAAAAAAAAAGTTGGTAAAGTTGCAAAGTTGCAGTTTTAGTCCCAGTGAGATTCAATGTTAAACCACTAATATCTTTGTCGGTTCGAAAAGAGTGGGCCTCCAACCTTTCAGGAGGCCGAAACGAAAAAACAGTCGTCGATCAGATTTATCGACCACAAACGTTGTCGGACCCGACCTCCTAAAAGTTCAAAGGTAGACCAAAACTTATCGAAATCGGACGACAAAGGTACTAGTGGTTTAAACCAATTCAGGAATTGAGCACAAGACCGGAGAAGATCAAAGGAAAATAGGTTAATCCTACTTTATGAACTTATATTTTAGCTATGATGACAACTATCAGGCGAAAGTTTGAAAGCTAAACTGGCTAATGCTATCATGATAACTACAGATACAAAGAAGATTAACATGGTCCGTGCTCTAGGATAACATGCATAAATTGAGAAATGGTCCAACGTTTTATTTATTATAAAAATTAAAAAAAAATAGAAAGGAATCTTCACTTTAATATTCGAATTTTAATGGTTTTTCGTGACCACAAGTCATGAGGATGAGGCCCAACAACCAGAGTCTACATCTCTTCGTCAAAACGAGGGGCACTCTTGAAGATATTCTTCTCTTATGCCCCACAAAAACACAAATTTGGAAATGGTGGTATACCAAAAAAAAAATTTCTCGCTTGGAGTCCAGAGACCTTATTACTAAAAACTTAGTAGGAAGTATAATTGATACTGATGGCGCAACGTTGAAAACATCACTCATGTTTTGGACCCCGGAAATTTCGTCGAACCGAGTAGTGAAACTTGTTAGCGAAAGGTTATCGAATTCGCTAAAACAGGTTAGTGAAGCTGATGTTTGGGCTTCTCACAGAGTAAGTGTCTATTTATGATTTCGGGTTTGATGCACATTGAAGGCGGTTTTGAGGTTGTACTCAATCGTTTATCCACGTTATACCAATAACTGGTTTCGTGCATCTTTGTACAAAAAATTCATTTCAAGATTTTAAATTTTGATTTAGTTTTTGTTTTTTAAATATAGTTATATCCCAGAGTATATTCAATATTTTGGTATTAAATCACATTGCGGGATTTTCGGTGTTTACTTAATTGGTTTTCAATATTATATCCGGAAATATATTCGGTGTTTCAATATCGATTCACATTTCAGAATTTTTCGTATTTTCTTAATTATTTCTCAAAGTTATATCCAATAGTATATTCAGTATTTCGGTACTGAATCACACTTCAAAATCTTTTGTATTTACTTTATTATTTCTCCACATTATATCACAACATTATATCCAAAAGTGCATTCAGTGTTTCAATACCGAATCACACTTCAGGATTTTCTTTTTTTACTTCACAATTTTTCAATGTTATATCATAATATATTTTTTCGGTGTTTTTGTACCGAAATACACTTCGAGATTTTTTACGTTTACTTCCTCATTTCTATACATTATATCCCGAAGTATATTTGCTATTTCATTATCAAATTACAATTTTTTATTTTAGTGTTTTGACGTTATATCTGAAGTATATTCGATGTTTCGGTATCGAATAATACTTCTGTATTTTTTTGTTTTACTTCGTAATTTCTCTATGTTATATCTCAAAATTTATTTAGTATTTCGGTACAAGTATCGGAGCATAACCCTTACAATGGTATCTGCTCGGGATTTTCAATATCGGGCAATGTCCGACTGTCACTATGTTTTTTTTGAATGAGTTGATTTGATGAGAATCAGGTCTTTGTCAAAGTCTATTTAGACATGACTTGTGACGAAGGGACTGAAATGTTTTCCGGACGTTTGCGGTCTACGAGGACGATGATGAGGATCGGTAGTGTGACCAGTCGGCTGCGTGTTTGGCGAGGTCACAGAGGCATGTGACCGTCTGAAGTACTAAGCATAAACTTTTTTTTTTTTAAATTGTGATGTGCGGTTGTACAACCACGTGATTAAAGGTAAAAAAAAAAAAAAAAAAAACGTTGACGGTCGCATCACAAAAGCATGGGTATTCAAATTTGTTTTATTTAAAGAATTGCGCCACCAGGACTCGAACCGACACCAATCAATTGGACGGGGGGGGGCTACATCTTACCTTGTTTCCTTGTTAGGATGAGTCACCTTTTATCCCGGTGTCGACCAGTAGAAAGGATTTGTAGGCTCGTCGATCGATCCCTGTATCTCACCCCATGTCTATCACCCACGGGAGGGTCGCTTGGGGCTCCTGTAACCTGCAGAGAGTGTCAGTTTTCCACGACAACAATAAAGTTAGCACAAAAAGCAAGGACGACCGACTCATGGAACTCGTAGACGATTTGTCGGAAGGAACAAGTTAAACATTTAACTAAATCCAAAACAATTGAGTCTGTTTCGCTGCACACGGTCCCAGAAACAGGTACAATGTTTAAATCAGGAAAATCTATTTGGGTCTCAACGAATTGTATGGACAAACTACGTCGTATCCTCCTCCCTATCGGGTGTCGTTGATATTTGACCCGATGATCCTATAGAACCGTGCTCGAGCTCTCGGAGTCAG